ACAGAATTTATGTTTGTTTTATATTGGCCAAGAGGTGACATCATTAGCTAACTCGTATTGCAAAGGCTAGTGAATAATCATTTCCCACTCACTCTCTCCTAAACACCTGTGACCATATTAAATCTGTCAACTCTACCTACCCCGGTCATCTCTGTTGTAAAACAGTGAACCAGAGCCTATTTAATTCTCTGTTCAAAGAGCTGTTTCCTGTGTATCATCACCCCAGTTACCCTTGTTAGTGTGACTCTGGATCCCATCATTCCCCTTGCCAGGTTGAAGGACCACAGTTGCAGGTAGATGCTACTCCAGACATCAACAACTATTAGGTGAATTTAGATAGAGGCTATTGGGATGCAGTTTTAAGAAAAATAACAAGTGTGACCCAAAGATCCTTCTTCATGTCCTAGCTCCATACTTAAATATAGCTTAGACTGATGGCTGAAAGGCATCACTGTTGGTTGTGAAATTAGTTGCTATTTTCAGTCCACTTCAAAACTCCCATTAGTCCAGCTAAGACAGTGCCAAAGTCTTGGAAAAGACAAGAACTGAACTGGCAGGGAGAAGAAATTGTCCCTGTTATGCTGAGATTAAATTTCTGAATAAAGGAACCTTGAGGATGGGGGACTGCATGCATGCTGCATCTGCTCTCTTTGTGGCTAATGGGAAACACCCTCTAATTCCTACACCTTTTCATAGGTGACTTATCAACCAAAACCCATGAAGAGTAGAGTTGAGGTCCCTGAGTATCATACAGTTGCTCCTAAACACCAGGATTAAGATTTTTTTAAAAAAAATCAAGCCATCATCTTCCTAGGTATTAATACTAAGCTCACATTTTCCTCTCAGCTTTTGTCCCAGCAGGAATAACATAATCTTCATTGCTTTGCAAATTGCAAACAGCTCTCCTGCACTTACTCAAGCTTCTCAGCTCTGTTTTTCATACTGAAACTCTTCTGGGGAAGGGATGGCAGGGGGGGGCTTGTTTCCCTTGAAGAAAAATAAGAAAATGTTTGCATGATAAAGCTGATGCCTGTTGCCTGGTGGTTTAAACAAAAGAACCCTACTGTGGACATTTTCTTCTGTAGTGCAGAGCAGTTTAGAAAGCTGTATAATGTGTCTTGACAGCAGTACAAATCACTAAAGGTCAAGGGCTTGGGGATTAACCACATCCCCATATAATAGGCTGATACAGAAAGGGCAGGACCATAAGAGTTCAGATTTAGAATGAAAGGTTTTGAATACAGCTGATGAGAAAAGATTTGTGGAAAGGGGGGACTACTCACACCCTTCCAGCACTCAGGCATGCTAATAAGATCACAGTGTGGAGGCAAATATGGAGCTGTCCCCATTCTTCATTAATGCAGTCAACATCTGGCTACAGGCACTTCTTCAGTCCTGAGGCATCTTTTTTCTTTCTTCTCACATTTTCTTTAGCTGCAGGTGCCCATCAGTCTGCAAGTCAGCTCAAGATGGGTCAGCTACAGAAGGTTGTTCAGGACTGCATCCACTAGAGTTTTGAGTATGTCCCCAGATGAATGACCCACAACCTCTCTGAGCAACCTGTGCCAGTGCCTGACACTGTAAAAAACCTGTTTTTACATGTTTTGAACATCTTATGCATTTCCATTTGTGCCCACTGCCTCTTGAACTGTCAGTGGGAACTACTGGAAAGAGTCTTCATTCTCTTGCATCAGGTGTCTATCTATACATGCTGGTAAGATTCCCATAAGCCTTCTTTAAGGCTAAACACGAGTATAAGGAAGTCCTTATATTTTAAAATCTGATTAAAGATAAGCTGGAAGCTGGACTGGAAAACTCGCTGCTTCAGATATTGGAACTGAGAGGTATACAAAATAATGCTTCCATAGTCACATTAATATTTAGGAGGGTTTTGAAAAGGAGCTTTTTTAGCTCTTTTACTTCAGCTTTGTGATTGTGACGTGTCAACTGCATCGTCTGAGTTTTCTCCTGTGTGCGTGCAGAGTGGTCCCAATGCACCACAGCTCAAGCCTTTCCTCTTCTACATGAAGAGAAAACATCAGTGATTGTCTTCTGTATTAGAGATCAACTGAAAAGAGTTTGCACCAGAAAAGCTTATTGAAATTACTGTTCTCCCTCCTACTGATAGAAGTATTTTTCCCTGGAATCAGCAGCGATGACATTATTGAGCATCATCGGAGCGTGGAAAGGACAATGAAGCTTTCAGAGGACACTCTTTTTAAAGCTGTACTCACTGGATAATGAATAAGTTAGTGTTCTGTGCCAAAGGGCAGAGCAATTTTTGCAGTTCATGTTTCAGTAATTCTGCTATGATACTTATACTCTTTAGAAAAATAAGCAAGACAAGTAAAGATGCTATAGGCTACATAAGCCTGATGAGGAAAAATGGCAGGAAAGATGTCAATGAATGCCACTATTTATTAGCAGCATGGCTCCATGAAAGAATTATTGTGTAGTATTTTTGTTCACTAATTATGTGCTAAATTACATTAAATTATCACAGTAGTGCCTCATAATTACAGTTATTATGACAAACACCAAACAAATGAGTTAAGGAGTGACCTCTTCCATTCGAAAACAGAAACAGAAGTCTCTCACAAATGCCAGATTTCTGAATATGCAGCAGTAGTGTCAATTTTCATTTGTGGTTAGCAATTGGAAGGACGTTTTGATTATCTTTTTTTAAGCCCAGTGCTCAGTGAAGGTCTCCCCTGTTTAGCTTAGACAGGAATGGATAAAACTCTTCCCACTGGCTGTCAGTTGTTTTTCCCTCCACCTTCCAAGGCCTCCTTCTGCCAATAAAGTCCAAGGTGCAGCATTTCACAAGCATCCTGGAGACACCTCTCATAATTCAAAATGTGAAATCCATATTGAAGTTTATATTATACACACACACACAAAATACAAAGCTGTGTCCCATATGTAAAGATAGGGCCACTGTGGATTTTTTATTAAATAACTTACTACAGCAAATCCAGATTAGAATTAAACTCCCATGTTCTTACAGTGCTTTTCAGCTCTCTTCACCTCTATACAAACTGTACCTGATACATGCACTTATCAAAAATAGGATAACAGGATAGAAGGGCTGAAAATATAATCTGTTTTGGTAATTTTCAACTTCCTCTGTTCCTTTGAAACATGTCAACAAGGTTCTTTAATTCTCATTCATTCACAGGAGAGTTGACAAGTCACACTTACAAAAAATCAAGGAAGAACTAATCATCACTTCTCCAAACTCCCAACACAGGCTTGCTGGACACACACAAAGCACTTTCCATTTCCATTCCACTGAATGACTGTTACTATTACAAAGCACAGTTTATTGGTAGATTTATTTCAGGAAATTCCAGTGAGTAGAATAAGCATTCATTCTTTCAAACACCCAAACATGTACACTGAAATGGCTGCTCTTACATATTCATTCTGTGTGGGCACAGAATTTCTGTTGTTTGATTGACCATTATTAATAAACACTTTCAACTTCAGTTACCCAGTCATCACTGATTGACCAAGAGTATAACCTGGAGAAACACACTCAGCACACACCAAGAGGAGGCCTAAACTAATTGGATGACATTTCTTAGGAAAGATTTTGCAGAATCAACTACATAAAAATCTAGCCAGATGGAGTGATATATTTGGAAATAATACCTACCATGCATGGCAGGTCTGTTTTGTGTATCAGCAGGGGTTTTTCTGAGAATCAAAAATGGGATGTCCCGTTATGGCTCCTTTGGGACTTTGATATTGCCAGGTAGGTGATACTGTTCCTAGCATGGAAGTTTTACTGTCTACTTTTTATTAGTCTGTCTCAACTATTTATTTTAGCTGTATATTTTATCATCCTCACTCAATCCCAGTTGCTACATGTTAAAGATACATTCCTATGGCAAAAAGGAATTTTTCGCTTTTATGGGCAAAGGCGAGTGAATCAGACTTGTAAATAACAGCTCAGTCCATGAGCACACTTCACAGGTACATTGTAAGGTAGTGCACATTAATTCTTAGCTACCTGCACATAGTTTTCAGCTTATAGGTAGTGCCTCAATGCTCTGAACTTGGCACACCAAACCACTTCTTCCAGAGACAGTCACTGTAATTTCCTGTTCAGTGTAATACATTTAAAGATATGTTATTTTTGTAATGAAAGATGTTATTGAAAACACACCTGATATTTCATTATCATAATCATGTTATGGCCCAGTCATAATCCCTCTAAACCCCACCTGATTCGTCAATTTAGTCATTAGCTTCATCTAGTCCAGTGCTATTATCAACAAGTTTTTATGAAGCAAGGGTCACAGCTGCCATGTCTATCAGCCCTGTATCTCTGCATTATCCTGATCTGAACGTGAATAGGTTCATCCTTCATGGCCTCATCAATCTATGTGTTATTTTCAGGTCATAATCAGATCAATTCAATGTGCTCTATTGCATAACTTCTTCCAGACTGTAGTCTTGGGCAACTATTTTGCTAACAGTCACCTGGAACAGCTTTACACAGGGCTTATTCTCAAGGATTTATAATTTGCACTTCCAGGTTAGTAGAACATTATGAGTAGGAAAAGTTCCCCCAAACCTGTATTTTTTCTACTAGCCACTACCTACATCTATTTATCTGCTCAAATTAGTAAGAAATTAAATAGGTTTTCTTAAATCAGCAAGAAGCTCTGAAACCTTTTCGATCCATTCCTTTTCTATATCCTCTGGTTTTTTTTTTTCCTGGAAGTCTTCTTTAGTCCATCCTGTTTGCTATCAGATATTTTCTAAAGTCTTCCTTTTGGCCTCATGCTTCAGTCACAGGTAAGGATAGAATGTCCTGTATTTGTCCACATGTAGTAACTTGTCAAATTATATTGTAATATTGTCAAGTATTTGCTTGTTAAGAACCACCCATCACTACTATCATAAAGAAAGTTGTTTGTTGTTTATGACATGGCCAGGAATGTTGCTTTGACAATCCATTTTGCAAAGCCCCCAAAAGACCCAACAGCAGCCAAGAGGCAAATCCATTGGTACTTGGAGGCTGCAGAAGCTCAACAAGGGGAATCCAGCTGTCTCACGCAGCAGAAGCATCCCCATGAAGTGACCCAACATGCTGTGTAACACCCACTGATAACCTGGAATTACCACAAGGCAGCTTTGCTAACAGAGCTGTGAAGTCTGGTTACTGCTCAAGTCCTGCTGCCTGCTCATGTTTCTTAGCCATTAGCCACACCAGGAGATATTTTAGGATAAAAGAACTCATTTGAGATTACTGGAGAAAGAAAAACTTCTATGCACCAGGAGTCTACAAAGCAAATGATGCAGAATAGAGATAGTCCATTTCCAGTGATTTTATGAGAAACATGTAAGCACTAATATATACATAAGACTTTTATACATAACTGTGCGGTCAAGGCCAACTGGAAGCTCAAAAAGCAAAAAGTGAGGGCATTGTCTGAAAGCAGTTCACTGACAGCTTGTCAGCTGAAGCATGCTAATGTGTCTGTACTCGTGGACTGACTGAGGTTTTCACAGAATAAATGACTGGCAGAGCTTGTCCACAGCTGCAGCGTCCGTTCTGATAGCTTAACTGGGATGTTAAAATCCCTCCCTCTGTTTCATTGAGTGAGACACTGATATGCATTTAGCTAGCAGGTCTTAGGCTACTGTTGTGCTATATTCAGGGTTGATTGGGCCTTTTAAAGTCAATATTCCAAAATTCAATGGCTTGGAAATTTTCTTGTCATTCTTATAAGTAACGTCAATGCAGGAAGTAAGAAAACATCATCAAAGAAAAAAGAATTAAAAACCATTGAGAACTAGACTCTTGAATAAATGTTTAATTTCCACTTTCCTGCTAAAACTCCAAAGCAGGTGAAAGGTAATCTCCCTACCCACAGACAAATAGTAGGTGAATTACACAGTGATTAGATGTATTTGTTCTGGAACATCTCTGTGGACAGCAAAACACACAGAAAATTACTTTTACAGTTTAAGGTAAGCAATTATAATAAAGAAAAAAGCTTTCTTCCAATTAAAACTGGTAAGGAGGGTAGTCAAGAAACAAAATAAAACCACTCTCAAATTGTCTGGGACACGAGACCTATTGATCTTGTAGCTGTGAACAAACAAAGTCAGAACTTTAGGAGGTGCAAGCAGTCAGCCCTCTGTGCACGTATTTGTGCACTCCCCATTTTAAATGTCACATCCCAAAGACAGCAGAGTGTTACAGGATGAGTCCCTACAAACTCTGGGCACTACGGTTATGTAGGGCAAGCTCAAGACATGGGTGCTAAGGACTTAAACATTGTCCTTGCTTCTTACAGCCTTGTTTTCACATTGGATTTTCATTTGTAATTGTGCAAACTGGAGGTTAAAAGTGCTCACACACAGCAGGAGAGATTTATATTCCTTCACAGCATAAGTGGCAGCAGGGGTGCTGGCAGCTCAGGTGGCCATGAACAGGTCAGCTGGTCAATTAGAACCATGCTGCCCCACTGAGAGCTGAGGGCTTGGGGAGGGAGAGGCTTTCTGCAGCAGGAGGAGATTTGGACTCATTCTGTGCATCCCCTACCTATTTAATTTCTTCTTACAGAGATCAATTCACCTTTGGTCCTGCACAGAATGCCAGGGCAGCCATAGGGCAGTGTAAAGGACAAAGAGGGACATGCAGTCCTCGCATGGCTGGCCTGTGGAGGAAGTGTGGGTTTTGATGTGAGATACAAGGGACTATTCCTCATATATTAGTAGTATTGCTCACTAGTTCTCATTCCTTCATTCTGCAGGTCTTTTTCCTCCTGTGTTCTGTAGCTCATTCTCACTCTGTTGGACTGATTCCCAAGGAGTGGCCTTTCTGCACTGTTGTTACAGCTCTGAAAGGTTAGTCACCATTTTATCAGTGTTAAAACGTTCTCAAGACAATCCTTTTAAGAGAACTGTCACTCAACACACTCTCTAGTAATTCTCTCTGTTGCAACAAGTCAGAAGAATAAATAAGACCTTACTTATCTCACCTTGTTCTGTACCCAAGCCTGGAGTGAGTCTGAGGGAACATGCCCCAGTTGTAAGGTGTTTGTGTTTACATTGCACAGTTCAGTAAATCTGTTCAACTTCCTGTAAGAAACACCTTTGTTTGTGATTCTTTTACAACTCTCTGAATAATGTTCAAAGTACTCTGCAGAGACATATTTGAAAGATTTAGTTGTGATTTAACTGATGCCATTGTAAATCAAGAATGGCTCCACTAAGTTGATTTTATGTAAGATCTGCATCGCATTTGCATGCACTAGTGATAGGAGCCTTATGAGCACTTAGAGAGAAGAATTAAGACACATGAAAAGTCATATGCAAATATGATAATTAATTCATTGGAGATGCTGATGTCCAAGCTATCTTGACTAAACTGAGTAGTCCAGATTAGATTCTAGCCCCTTCAAATCTCTACAGATATTGCCATCAACACAACCAACTCAGGATTTCACAGCAGATATATATTTACTAGGGATTGCTTGCTAAGAGAATTCGCGTGTGTTTTAAATCATTCTGCAGTTGTGAATAATTAATACCCAGAAAAGGTGCAGCATTTCTTTCTACAAGGAGGCTGTCAGAAGCCTACTGGATTTGAAGATGCTGCTCAAATATGAATATGTTCCTGTTGCAGCAGCATTTCCTACACCTGCAACAGCAGAATCCAAACTCCCTTTCCTTCCTTGCTTCTGTGGTATCCCTACTGTGGAAAATAGTTTGCACTTAATAATGTCCCTAACAATGGGAGTTGCAGATACCATATCTTTCTCTACCAGAGGCTGCTGTCAGAGTGGAAGGGAGAGACAGAAAGGTGGTGACGAAATCCTGCATTGCCCCACAGAATACACATGCCAAGAGGGAATTTTTATCTGGGACAGTTCTTCAAAGAGAGAAGCATGGGAAATGAGAAAGGCAAAGAACAGCAACACTTGAGAGAGACAGGAGAATATATTAAATTCTAGCCAAATCTCCAGTAAATACTTTGCATTTATAACAGTTTTTACCCATATCTGCTTTGTCTGTCCTGGAGATACTGTGTGAGTGAGAGGAGAGCTAAACTGCATGACTGATCAGAGACAAGCCATAATATTGCCAATTCAGATGAGTGTTGTCTTCTGAAGCTGAGTAGGGAACCCTTCCTTCAGTGAGGAATTTTTCTTAATTAGTCCCTCTCTTTAACAGTATTGGCAGCTTAGCTTCAATTCTTCAGGTTCAGAAGTAATGTCTAAAGCTTCATGTTGTTTTGTAGAGTTAAATACACGCATAAAATGTGGAAAAAACTCCAGGAGAAAAGTAAAAGCCATAGAGTGACATTTCATAGGACCAGAGAGTGCATCTGCAGAGAGCCAATTGTGATCCAAGGAAACTGCCATGCTGGCTTTCAACTGGGGGATGTCTCGCCAGAATCTTATTCTGTAATGAAGCAGCTTTTAATTGATATCTGTGTCTTGTTCAAGGTGTTGTCTTTCTGATATGCTGTACAATACACAGCAATCTGACAGTCCTTTTGGAACAGCTCACTGATTTGAAATATATACTTTCAAGATATCCAGTGGTTTTGCTTCCACTTGTGGCTCAAACAGAACACCAGCTTGAATATTTTTTAAAAGCAAACATTTTATGTCTGTGTTTAATGGCATGGGAAACTAATTACATGTGAGAGGATAGAAATGACAGCCTGTCACAGGAATCTCTTTACGGCTATTGAAAACGGCAGTGCAGCACAAAATATTAGTAAACCTTCAGTGTGACAGTTCAGTAGTGGATAAATGGTCATGAATGTGCCAGAGCTGGCTAGCCCTGACAAACTAGACTGTTTAGATTCTGAGTTAGGTGAGTGACCGAGGTATGTGCTTGTGGGAGGGAAGATTTCCAGTTGCAGCAAGAACATAAACCAGTTTGAATAGCAACAAGAAAAATAGTGAGTGAAGTCATCTATTAGTTTAATGGGATATTGTGAACATAAAATTACCAAAATATTTTTGCCTGTCAAACCACAAAATATCAGACTATTAAAATTGCATATACATATTTCTTCACACTGAAGTGTCATATATTGTCCTTTAAATACCCTAGATCACAATCATTAGATTTAAACATCCAATTTACTTTGAATGCTTTTTAGATCATAAATTCCACAAGACACAGGTTTGCGTATGTTTTATAGTTACCTTTAAAAAATTAGCTATATATATATTGCTGGCCTGCTTGCTTTAATCTGTTTTTCATTATGCCTAAACCACAAATCTAGGCTGCTCACTTCCTCTTCCTTGTTCTCATTTCTTACCAGCAGTCGTCATTCAAGCTGACAATACTCCAGATATTAAAAAAGCCAGAAAACCTGATCTGATCATTTTCCATCTAGACGGAAACTGGGGACAGCCTGAGGCATTTGATAACACCCAGGCCCCTCTGGGTGCCTCTGGGTTCCCTGTATGCCTTGTATTACCTTTACAGGACAGTTTGCTGTGACAACAAGACTTTGGGACGCAGTGAGCTGCCCTCTTAGTCCTGCTACAAGCAGACTGAGTGGCAATGAACGGGTCTTCAAGCAAGGAAATGTTCATTTGGTTTGCAGCTTAAAGATTCTTAATAAAATCTGAGTGATTAAAACATTCCAGCCCTCCCTATGGTACATATTTTACAATAAAATGATTGTATCAAAGCAAAATTGGAAACCTAGAAAAGAAAGAGGCAAAGTGAATCTATGAAGGAGTTTAGTTTATGTACTCCACAGCATTAAACTAAAGTTAAAACTCTGCAGGGAGCAGTAGCTAACAGAACTATATTTTTTAATTATTAGATGCACTGACATTCTGACTTCATGAGTCTCAAGTGTGCTCAGCTTGCCCTGGCTGTTTGGAGTTCACTGCTACCTAACTTGCAGATTCAGTGAGAAAAACGAGGTGTTTCTTTCTGAAGCAGGTGATAAAGCTCTAGTAAATTTAGATCTTTCTGTACATAAGGTGAGAGCAAACTCTAAGAAAAAAGGAGCAAAGTATAATGTTAAATTTCACCAAGCTCTGCAATGGGAACTCAGCACAATGATAGAGAAGCATATTTTGCCCCAGGTAAATAGCAGTCAGTGGTTAAAACACTTAAAAGTCATGACTCAGACCCAAGTAACGACTACCTCCAAAATCACTACAGTTATGCCAGTTCTGTGTGACTACATTTTGGACAGGATTTGTCCTCTGAATGCTTTGCCTAGAGCCCTTAGCTGTCTGCCAGTCAAGTAATTTAGCAGGTATCAACTTCCAGCCCTGCAAATCCCTCAGATCCCCAGTCATCGCTGCCCAGACCTCAGCTCTTGCTCTGTTCCCCTCTCTGCCTCTCCAGCAGGAAGCCCTGAGGGCTTTTCCAGTGTGTTGTCCAAGCAAGTAAGGGCTGGCTCTGTGCACACATCCATGGCACCCTTCCCTAGCAAGGGGGATATATGGCACAGGGAACCTGGAATCAGAGAAATACCTGTCAAACAATTCAAGCATTTGGGGCGATGAACAGCTAAAAAGGCAGTGCTGTGCATGCTGAGGTTCACTGCTCGAGCTTACCAGACAAACATCACTTCAGAGGCAGCACTAATGCCACTTGGGAAAACGGGGCAGAGCATGAAAGGGGACACACCTTGTCCTATTTCTTGGCAATTCTATAGAAGTCAAATCCTCACCTGATCCTACACAGAAACAGGGCAGAGAGTGGAGTGACGAGTGCTCCTCAGATAGTTGGTAAAAAATTACTGGTGACTACTGCAAACGATCACAAGGGCATGCTAACTGAATTTTAGTAGTAATTTAAATATGAACTGACATATTTGCATGGTATTTCAGACACTCCCACAGAAGTGACTCTGACAATTATAACACTAAGAAAACATCCATGATAGAGTGAAAATAAGGATGTTCAAATATAAGGCCAAAGCAGTAGGGTCTGAGTGCCCCAAATTCGATTTGTTCTAAAGGGGATTCCATGAACACAGAGTCTCCTACTGTTCAGAGATACTAGCAATATCTGAGAAGCATAATGCAGTGAGTTAGGCCAAAGTAATTACTTTTCTTTCTTTTATTTCCTTTTTGTCTTAATTTGCTAAATTTTTCACTTATTCTACCACCCAACTTGACTGAAATTTTGGCTGAATTCCAGTTGAAGGAATCTCTTTTGTGTTTCTGATTTCTTCTAGAAACTGAAACAGCTGCAGATTTCTACTAGGTAGAAACCTACAGTGATGAGATTGTATCTCAGAGGTGTTGTAAGAAAATGACATTTGTAAAGATGACAAACATCAGGGAAAAATATTTACAATGTATACAGTTCCTTTTTTATTAAGCTTAAATGTGTCTCACTTCTGTGGTCTTGATTACTGTTGTCATAGCACCAACTACTTTCTTTCCTACATTATGGTGTGATTTTAGTGGCTTTCAAACCTACAGGTAGTCCATAATCCTATGTCAGTTTACTTGGAATTGTCTACTGAGACATATTAAATGACAAAAAATTATGACCTACCTCAAAGGTGAATGCTATCAAATAGAAATTACAAGGGTTGGTATTGATTTTGGGGCCAGAAAGTCTGGAGAGCTTTCTATCTGTAAAACTCTGGCAGGTTCAACAGGATGATCTTGATTTATGCCGGAATAAATGGAAAATTATTCACATCTCAAATTTATCACCTGAACAAAGGCAAAATAAACCATCTTAGAATTCACAATTCACTGTATTCTGGATCAGAGAAATCCTTGGAGCAGTCCAGTCTACAGCAAAGCTGAGCAGCACAGCATTACAAAAGGGAAAATATCCCTACACTGCAGACATGGTATTACTCCAGCGTCTCCTTCCTGCTGAAGCACAACTTGCTTTGCTATTGCAGGGTTACTTGTATATGTGACTGCTGATATATAGAGATCTTTCAGGAAAAGAATTAACAAGGAAAACTACAAGATCTCATTATATTAACTCTTCAAAAGCAAGTTAAAAGGATGCAGAGGTCACAAACATGAATAGTTTATATGCAGTTGCCTGTAGCCAGTGTGCTGGAGAAAGTCACTGCTAGTTCCTTGACCTGACTGTGTTGAGATGTGTCTCCTTTTGACAGCTGAGAGCTCCCTGGTCCTATGAGTTTGCAAAGCCAAGCACGAGGGCTGTGGGGTCACTGGCATGCCAAGGTGTCCTGCATTTCACCTAAAGAGCCCCTCTTGTTTGCAGAGGCTCCTTTCCTGCACATGGCTAAGGAGCTGCTGGGAGCTCCATGGGGACCCTTTCAGCCTGGGGCTGCCTTCCCACCTCCACTGCGGTGCTGGGCATTGGGATGCTTCCATGCTTGCTGCACAGCTGGCAGCAGTGGAAAGAACTAAATGCTGCCTTGTATTGAATGGTGAATGTGGAGTGGGTGTTTTTCTCCAAAATTAGGATTTCCCCGACATAAGCTGCCTTCTTGATTTTCTGGTTCGTATCAATCGTTAACTTACTTCCTCAAACAGGTTCTGTAAGGGCTTTCTAGCAAAAAAAGTGTGTATATATGTATTTATACACACACATACACACACACATATATATATACACACACATATACACGATTATAGTGCGAGTGTGTGGAGCAGGGCTGACATTCACCCACGCGTTGGCCGCTCCCTTCAGACACTGCTGCCAAGAGCCTGAAATGGTGCCTGTTTCCCATCACCATGGCAACCTTGTGTGGGAGGCAGCATTTCCTACAAGGCATTGCACTGAACCTCTGTGAGATGCTGCCAGGCTGCGGGTGACCCGGGACCAGGAGCAGTGTGCACCATGTGCTAGCAGCACCCCTCAGCCTCCCACAGCTGTCCTGCTTGCCAGCCGCTGCCGTGACCTCTCCCGGCGGCTCGTGGGCTCTGGCACATGCAGATGCCCCAGGCCTGCCCTAGTGTGGGAATAGTGGAAAGGGTGGCAGTTGCCTGTGAAGGCTGCTGGGCTGGAGAAGTTGGAGGCAGGGACCTCAAGCAGCTGTCCTGCTGTGTCCTACCTGCACTGCCTTCACCCTGACCCACCTCAATGGGCTTTATGGGATGGGGAGCAGCACCTGGAAAAACTCCAAGTAAATACAAAAACTCAAACCATGCCAAGCTTTTGACCCCACATTCCCAAGCTGAGCAAGACCAGACTTTCTCTGAAATAATCATTTTCCTTGCTGCAACTCTGGCAGGTAAGACTAGCTAATTTAAGGGTAAGTCATACCTGACCAATCTGGTGGCCTTTTATAATTGAGTGACTTCAAACAGTCGGTAAGGGAAGATTAAACCCATGTCGTGAACCCAAACTTCTGTAAGGTCTTTGAAATATTGCCACATGACATCCTTATCTCCTAAGTGGAAAGATACAGATTTGTTGGAGTATTCAGTGGATAAGGAATTGGTGGGATGGATGCAGATAGAGTTGTGGTCAATGGCTCTATGCCCAAGTGGAGGCTGATGATGAGTGGTGTCTCTCAGGGCTCTGACTCAGGACTGGTGCCCTAATATCTTTATCAATATCATAGACAGTGAGATTGGGCACACCCTTAACAAATTTGCAGATGACACGAAGCTGAGCAGTGTGGATGACATAACAGGAGAATGGAATGCTATCCAGGATGACCTTGGTAATTCTCAGGTAATCCTGAGCCCACAGGAACCTCAGGGTGTTCCATGAGTCTAAGTACAAGATGTACCTGAAATCCCAGACATGAGCACAGACCGGGAGACTTCTCATTGGGAGAAGTCCTGAGGAAAATATTTTAGGGGTCCTGGGAGATGAGAAGCTGGACACAACCCAGCAGTGTGCACTTCCAGTTGAGAAAGTCAACCACATTCTTGACTGCATACAAAGCAGCCTGACCAGCAGGCCAAGGGAGCTGACTCTGCTCCTCTACTCTGCTTTTGTGAGAACCCACCTGGAGTGCTGCATTCAGCCCTGGGGTCCCCAAGATAAGAAGGGTGTGGACTTGTTGAAGTGAGTCCAAAGGAGGGCCACAAAGATGATCAGAGGGCTTGCTCAGTCTGCAGAAGAGAAGGCTCCAGGGAGACCTTTAAAGTATGTTCCAGCACCTAAAGGGAATCTATAAGAAAGCTGGAGAGGGACTCTTTATACAGGCAGATAGTGATAGGACAAGGGGAAATGGTTTTAAACTAAGGAGGGGGGATTTACTTTAGTTATTAGGAGGAAATTATTTACTCTGAAAGGGTGGTGAGGCTCTGGCACAGGCTCCACAGAGAAGTTGTGGATGCCCCATCCTTGAAGTGTTCAAGGCCAGTTGGGATAGGGCGCTGTGAAACCTGGTCTAGTGGAAGGTGTTCTTGCCCATGGCAGGGAAATTTGAACTAGATGATTATTAATGTCCCTTCCAACCCAAATAATTCTATGATTGTGTGATGCTATGATCATGCATTTTAAACAGTATGTAGGTTCACTGAAGTTATTTTTTACTTCCTCCTCTTACTTCTGATTAACATCTAACCACAGTAATGGAAATTTAAAACCTTATATTTGCTTTGAAGCACATGCACAAGTCTAAAATCTGGGTAAACAATTTATAAAAGCTCATCTACTCTCTATTATACCAACCCACATCTGTAGCCTTAAGAGTCTGATGATT